ATGATCAGACAGGAGAGGGTTTTCAGGAAACACTGTTAAATGTTCCGTTTCTATGCCATATGTTAAAACAAGATCTAGAGTGTGATTAAAGTGGTGGGTGGGTTCTTTCACATTTTGAGAGAAACCAACTGAGTCAAAAAGATGTAAACACAAAGCATGGATCCCATGTTCACCCAACGGTTCACCATGACTAGAAACAGGTGAGATTACAGCTGAACTAAATCTAACTACTGACACAGATGAAGTAAAACATAATGCACACGGACAAAAAGGCTAACACAACAAAACAGGAAACATACATGGGAACTGAACAGTGACGAAGTCCAACTGAAACACTGGGTCAAGGAACCCTGACACACATGTGAAAAACATTGAAATCAATTCCCTCTTACTTTTGCTGTCTTGCTTCAGTCAAGTTAAAAACTTCCTGCCTAGCTGTATCTCTCAGTGTGCTTCATTTCCCAAATACTGCAAAATTCGGCAAAATTGCAAAATGCTTATGTGAAACTCCACGGCAGACCCGAAGCCATATTTGTGCTTTGCAGCATATTTTATTTGCACATACAGTTGCTGAATATACATATGAACGGCCGCAGCGTCCTAATTCCAAACACCAGCAACAACAAACATAGGTACAATATTTGGCTTTATATTTTTGTTTTTTAATAATAATAATAATAATAATAATAATAATAATAATAATACATTTTATTTGAAAGCGCCTTTCAAAACACTCAAGGTCACTGTACATAGTAGAGTAAAAGCAACATAAAAGCAAGAAGTTTACAGAATCATAAAAGCATAAGACATAAACAAATAAAATAGCAGAGTGGAGAGGTTATGTGGGATAAGCTATTTTGTACAAGTGGGTTTTGAGTTTGGACTTAAAGAGAGAGAAGGAAGAGATGTTTCTTAAATCAGGAGGTCGGGAATTCCAGAGTCGTGGAGCAGCTGAAAGCCCTGCTCCCCATGGTTGCAAGACGGGGGGAAGGGACGGAGAGAGAAAGGGAAGAAGAAGATCTGAGACAACGAGATGGGGCGGTGATCTTAACCAGATCAGAGAGATATGGAGGAGAGAGATGATGAATAGCCCTAAATGTATACAAGAGTATTTTGAAATTGATGCGATATTTGACCGGGAGCCAATGAAGCTGCTGCAAGACAGGAGTGATGTGGTGGGCAGAAGGGGTCCTGGTGATGATAGGGGCAGCAGAGTTCTGGACGCGTTGGAGCTTGTGGATGGATTTTTGAGTAAGACCAAAAAGAAGTGAATTACAATAATCAATCCGGGAAGTAACAAGGCTATGGACAAGAATGGCAGCGGCATGTGGGGAGAGAAAAGGACGGAGACGATTATTGTTGCGCAATTGAAAACATGCAGACCGAGTAACATTATTAATGTGTGAATCGAAAGATAGACTACTGTCGAGGATGACACCCAAACTTTTCACAGAGGAAGAAACGAAGACCGGCGAGTTATTGATAGTAACAGAGAAACTGTTGGTTCTGGATAATGTAGATTTAGAGCCGACCAAGAGGAGCTCGGATTTATTACTGTTGAGTTTGAGAAAATTAGAAGAGAACCATGAATTTAGTTCAGCTAAACAGAGGGTGAGGGAGGATGGGGGAAGAGCAGAATCAGGTTTAGTGGACAGATAAAGCTGGGTGTCATCGGCATAACAGTGAAACTGGATATTGTATTTACGGAAAATATGTCCAAGCGGTAGATAATGAAAAGAAGGGGCCCAGGACAGATCCCTGGGGCACGCCAGTGGTCAGAGGAAAGGGCTGAGAAGTAAAGGATTTGAGTTGAATGAACTGAGTGCGATCAGACAAGTATGATATGATGAAGATATGGTTTTATCCTCAATTACTTTGAAACAGTGGCCTCTGCTGTGATATCATTGTGTTTTTGATGAAGTCTCACAAGTGTCAGCTTTATTTTGATATCAAGATGATTTACACAGTTTGTAATTGCTGAGAAATAGTCAGTTAGCTTTGGGCACGTCGTTTTCCAGCAGGAATGTTAGGAATAACCCTGGGGCTTAACAAGTTAATAAAGTTAAACTTTTCAGTGTGTAACACCAGCCTGATTTTCTGTTCTCCTTGTGTACTCTGGGTAGAACCCGGCACTGGTGGATGCTCCACTGTCTCTCCAGCTCGCCGTCAACTCTCCGCCCAAAACCTCCATCAAGACGTCTGGAGCCACGGTTGTCATGACTGCCATCGTCAATGTGATGGTGCTGCCTCCAGGTCAGCCTCCGGTTCAGCTGAGCAGCATGACCATGGTACATACACACATACACACAGGCACACACACACAGATGCACACACATTGGACACAACCAAAGCAGACTCTAAAGACTGTACACTGTGGTCTGGTTTGATACTGCTGATCACTGCGTCATGATAACGTTCTTAAGGACTTGTTTAGGATTACTGGTGTTTTTTTTTTTTTAAAATGGGTCATGTCATATCTAACAGATCTTTTACTGTTTGTTTGAGTCAGTGATATCTGAAATAACAGTTCTGCCTTTGATAGAAATTGTCTTAGCTGGGCTGGTCTGGTTGCCACGCTGGTGACCTGATAATGTGGTGAAGACTGGATGGCTGCACTGGTCCTTTTAAAAGGCTGATTATATGTGTTTGATGGCTTTTAATCTGAGGCAGAAGACAAACTCCAAATCCACCCTAACCGGACGGAGGATAACAGCTGTTCTTTAAAAACACACCGCAGGAACCTCTCATGACTTCCTTATCATCTAATGAATATTTCTAAACTCAGACTGCTGGTGTCAAAAGGCTGAACTGCTCTTACTGATTATTGTGACCGTCGTCTTTCTTCTGTTTTAACAAATTAGCTTTGACTTGTCTTCAGACTGTGCAAAATGCTGCGTCAAGACTTTTACCTGTCACCAGCTGAAGCTCACATGTCACTCCATGAAGTCACTCCATGGCTTCTCTTCATTGGCTGCCAATGTAAAATAAATGGCCTGCATTTGTATAGCGCTTTACTTAGTCCCTAAGGACTCCAAAGCGCTTTACACGTTCAGTCATCCACCCATTCACACACACATTCATACACTGGTGATGGCAGCTACATTGCAGCCACAGCTGCCCTGGGTACAAGGATATTTGGCATGCAGCCTGGAGCAGCCTGGGATTGAACCACCGACCTTCTGTTTAGTGGCTGACCTGCTCTGCCACCTGAGCTACAACCACCCCATTTTAAATGTATTTTAGGTTCCACCTTAAAATTCTAGTTTTAACTTGTAGCGCCCTACATGGTGAAGCTTCCCAGTATATCTCTGATCTGCTGAAACCCCATCGTTCTTCCTGAGCTCCTAGGTCATTAAGTCAATGCCCCACACACTCGGTTCATGCTGTAAAGACTCCTTTGAATCCTTTTAAAAGTTACTAAGCTTTACTTATATAACATCATACAGAGAATATATCTGTCCCAGGCAAAGAAATGAAGATGAAGACCCTAAAGAAACTCTGAAATTGTCTGTGTCTAGGCAGGCAGGACTCGAGGAGGCAGAAGAAACTCAAAATACACAGCTTTATTGCTGGGATGAAGCAGAACAGAAAAACACTAACTAAACTGGGAGTCCCGAATAACTAGACAGGTTGGCAAACAGAGCACACAGAGGGAGAGAGGGTGAACAGACGTTAAGGACACGACAGTGACACAAAGGCACACTGGGCTTAAATACACTGAGGGAGTCATCAAGGAATTAGAGACAGAAGGGGAACACAGCTGGGAGAAATAAGACCTAACGAGACAGGGGGAGCAAAGCTGGAACACTGACATCAGACAGGAACAAGAACCTTCAAAGTAAAACAGGAAACAAAACACACTTTACTAAGACACGGACTAGACAGAGAGAGACAGACTTGACACAGCCCACTAAATAATAATCATAATCAAAACAGTATCACTGATAAATCAAATCATAAATCATAATCTAGAAAAACACCAAAGCATGAAAAACAGAAAGCTGGGTCAACATGACCCAGAACCGTGACAGAAATGTGGTTGAAGCATCCCTGTGGCTTCAGTGTTTGCGCCTTCTTGTCATTTATGATCTTTGAGCCTTTCAACAAGAAAAAACTCACAGACTTTGAGGTGGAAACTAAAAGCGTCTTTTTCCCTTCTTGCAGGAGACCAAGTTCAATGCCAAAGTTTCCATGAGAGGAAAACGTCTGTCTGTTCACGCTGACCTACGCAGGTTTGCATGTTTCACTTCTTTGTTTCTGCAACATGTTCATTAAATATCAGATTGGCCTAACCCAGTCGCCCCACACTCACTCGATTGTGTTTGCACATTGAAATCTGTAGCAAGATTTTTTTCCTGTAGCAATATTTGAATCTTGATCTTCCTTACTGTGAAAATCAATCAGTCTCAAGTTTCAAGTTTTATTTTATCCTATATATGTAAGAGTGGCACATCACTACCAGCAAAGAAATTCTTAGGCTCAGAGCCCCCTCAATATTTCATGTAGAAAAAAAGCAAAATTGCACACAAGGTAATACTAATACAAAACACAGTATATCCTTGTAACTCCTTGGCTCTTGAGGGAGGCGGCCGCACTTTCTCTCTCTCCCTTATCTTCCCTGCTGGGCTTCTCATGTCTTTTATATAGTCTCGATTATTCTCTAACCCAGGGGTCGGCAACCTTTCTGATGATGAGTGCATCTAAAATTTCCTCAGAAGTCAGTGTGCCATATGACTGCATTAGCAATAAATTTAATAACGCTCTACATGAACAGTTACACACTGTATAGAACAACTTTATAGGATTATATTTGTGTGCAGATGTTGGCAGCTGTCAGCGAATAGTTATCAGCTATTATGAAACAAAAAAAAGACTTTTTATCCATAACAGCAAATGAACTGTACAACAGAAAATCCAAATGCTATTTATGGTCTCCTCACAACAATGATAAGAAAAATAAACTGGGCCAATATGATGATATGTTTGTTAATACAGAGACACACATGTTAATGTGATCTCTGGTCTCCCACTCAGAGACACAGGTCTCCGAGTGTCCAGCATTCAGAGGCTGCCTGAGGACTCATGTGAGAGAAAATCTGCTCACACAGACATGTAGAGCCAAATACTGTCAATAAGGCCTCTGCAATGTTCTGAAGACAGTTAAACTTGTCAGGCAGTGATGTCCAGCAGGTGAAAATGCAGCTCCATGAACACGCACAGCTGTGGATTCCAGCTGCGTCTGTAGGCCTGCAAACTTTGACCCCACAGAGTCGAGCTTTTCAGTTCAATCAACTGCATTTCAATGTCGCATTAACTGGCATTAACTCAGCCAGTTAATGCGAGACAAACCCAGCTGCTCTTTAAAGCTTTCTGGTTTGATCAGAAAAGAAAATATTGGTCCATACGCCTGAAAGTCCTGAAAACACATTGTGAATTCTGTCTCGAGTCTACGGATGTATCCGTGTATTTCCGTGGTGCTGATGCTGCGCTGAGCGGACAGCTGCTGAAGAATTTAAAGTGTCAGAATGTGGAAATTTAAACATTGCTTGAAAAAACTGCCAGCTAGCAACATCCCTCTCACTGGTAAGCTAAGATATTTTTAGCTAACTACAAGTTGAATCTGGTAGTTGGGGTTGTTAGCTAAGATACTGTCATTAACAAGCGGCACAACTAATGTGTCTATGCGAGCTAATTTGCGATATGCACCACTGGTGCGGCCATTTATTTTTTAATGCACCTTCTGAGATTAATTCACTACGTGTCGTGCCCAGGCCTGGACTGGGACAAAACATCAGCCCGGGCATTTTGACTAGAGACCGGCCCCCCAGGTATTAAAGCCATAAAGCCTTTGAATGAAAACAGACGCTGTGGTGACAGTGATGTCCAGTCTTGTCGGTATATGTATGATTTCTATACATTTTACATCAGATAAAAACTTTGGTTGTTAGATTCAGATAATTATTTATTAAAAGCGAAACATTTCATACTGTACTAATGTATGCATATTTCATGTGTTTTTATTTGATGTAGGTTTGGGAGAGAGCAGGGATGGGAGGTGTGTGTGTGGGGGGGTGTTCTTATTACTGCGGCATATTACTGTGAAAACAAACCTTTATATGCTGTTGCAAAAAGCAATAAAAAATATTGTTTAATAAAAAAAATAAAAGCGAGACATTTTAACTGAAAATAAGAAAGAAAAGTATTTCCTTGTGCCCCCCTCTCCCTGTTAATGCCCTACCTGACCCCCTGGCAACACTTTGCTAGACCCGCCCCTGCACAGTTACCAGCTGTCAGCTGTAAAAAAGGATCCTGGTGTTATTTGTCTCTCAGAAACAGTTCAGAACTTCAACTCATTCATGTCACCTAAAAGGTAAACCTGTTTCTCCATCACCTGTTCAGCTCTGATGTAAGGACATCTCCTGGTTTCATCTTCATGTTTCCCTCTCACCACATATCCAAACCGACATCATGACCAGCAGCTTTACAGCTGTGGCTCCAGCAAACATCAGCTGATACTAGAAATTAATATTAAATAAATTCTAACAACAGCTGATCAAACGTGCTGCTGTTGTTTAGCGACATCCGCTGGTTTCCTCTTTCTGGCGCAAAGTGGGCGATAAACAAACAAGAGAGACGATCAGCTGATCATTGATCAGTTTCATGATTGAAGGAGCAACAGGAGAGGGAGGGGGGAGAATGAGAGGAGAAGAGGCAGCTGTGCAGCGTAACGACGCAGAAAAACTGCAGCTTTCTGTTCCTTTTCACCTCAATAAGAAACACGTAATAGTTTCACTGAATACGGGATGATTCCGTTTTTTACGGGACAGTTGGCAACTCTACTAACTGACCTTATGAATAAAATAAAGTTCATTATCAGTAACATCAATTACCCACCCAGCTGTATAGAAACTCCGTCATGCTAGCTACAATACAGTTACAATAACTCAACTGATGGTAAAAAGTCAGCATAACGAAAATAAACTCTACCTAAACTTGGTTTATATCTGACCCAGATAGACTGCAGGTCATAACTTCTTACCTGGAGTTCACCTGACACTCAGACCGGCGGCCGCCTCGGGTCTCTGCTCCTCCTGCCTCTCCTTCCCTCATCCACCTGCTGGCCTCTGTGGAAGCTCCGCCACAGCCACCACCAAACAACTGAGTTATTTTTACACACTGGCCAATCCACCAGCTTTCACTGTTTATACCGTTACTAAAACAAAACCCCTCCAAAACAAAACAAAACATTGGCCCAGTCGTGCCATCAGTTAACCCGTCGCGTGCCATCTGTGGCATGTGTGCCCATTTTTATTTCAAACATTTCAAACATGTGCCTTCACAATCATTACAAAATATCATTCCATTTGTTGCTTGAAAGGGAGTCGGCAGAAGCATATACTTTTTTGTCCCTACCCCCTCAAGTTTTACCTCTCATTCAGTTAATTTTCTTTTAGTCTTAAATTAAACAAACATCATATGAAGCAAAAGTAAAGCAAAACACAAACATACATCAAAAACAAGTATAGTTTCTTTCATATGAAAAAGACTAGAATGTGTAAATTTGCAGATTCACAAGTTATGGAAAAAACAAACAAAAACAAAAAGAACAACAACACCATTACCAGCAACATCACCGTCCTGGGTTAACCCTGTTTTCTTCATTCTTATAATTATTTAAAATTATTTTAAGCTAGTTTATGTTTTTACTTTCTTTTATTTCTTCTGTTAGACGGTGTTTATTAAACGCAATATGGATAAGATCTTGGAGAAGCTCATAGTGTCACAGTCTGGCTGAGGCAGACTGTATGTGTTTGCAAGAGAGGACTCAAACGCAGACCAAAAACTGAACGTGACATGGATTTAACAAAAAACAAGCCGTTTATTGAGGCTAGGAAACAAGGTACAAACAAAGGGCATAGGTGAAACTAAACAATAACCTAAACTGGGTGAACCAAAACTAAACATGAAAAAACCTTAAACATGGTGAACTGACATGGATACCTGAAGTTGTGACGGGGATGAGCAGACGACCTGACAAAGAATGACTGAAGACACACAGACTAAATACACACAGGAGGATAATGAGGGAAATGGAAACACATGGGGAAACAGCTGACACACATGAACATAACGACGAGGGGAAAGTAAAACTAAAAACATTGAACATAGGAACACAGGACCCCTTCAAAATAAAACAGGAAACATAATGAGACGCAGACATGACTACATGAACTTGACAACGTAAGACAGACATGAAACACATGAAGGGCAAGGGAGACTTCACAGGGGTTGGAAGACACAAAGGGAATCTAAAAACAAATGAACTAGAAAAGCTAATGAGTTTAATCACATACTATAAACATCAAAATAAACTAAAACTCAAAACACCGGGTCATAAGACCCAGGATCGAGACAACATAACATAACATCTTGAAGAAGAACAACGGGAATTGAGACCTGGTGACCAGTGACGGACATTAGACCAACTCTTAAATTGGATGCAGTTTGTTCGCACTAACCAAAACAACTGCCATCTTCATCTCATGCGCCCCCCCGGCGCCAGCTGGATGCTCAAGGCAAAAGCTAAGGGGAATAACAATTCTCCTTTAGATAACAAGACTGTGTTGTGACTTTCTCCCTTCTCGTTCAAGGTCACCCGTGTCGACCGAAGATTGTTGACTTTGCTTAACCGGGAGAAGGGACACTTTCTCTCGGCTGAATGAGGAACACACACACATACACACACATACGCATGTACACTGACACAGACCTACACTCACCCCCCCACCCCCTCCAAACGCCTCCGAAGCGTCTGTCTTCTATGTTGTGAGATGTGATGATTCATGTGCTAAGGGTTTTTTTTCTGTTGGATCTCCCTGTTGGAGCTCAGTCTGGAGGGAGTTCTTTGTTCTCCTCGTCTTTCCTCATGTTGTGCATTTTCGATTTTTATACCTCTCTGACCTGTTTTGCAGTCCAGCAGCCTGATGGCCTGTGGGTAGAAACTGTCCCTGAATCTAGTCCTGTGAAGAGTGTAAGGCTGGGTGGGCTGGGAGCAGAGAGGATCATCTGGGCCTGTAGAGGTCCTGGATGACCGGCAGCTCAGACCTGGTGCTATGCTGTGCATAGAACTTCCAGTATGTTCCGGAAGCTGTTGAAGAACTTCTGGTATGATGGCGCCTGTGTTTGGCTCTGCCGCTGCCGGGTGCAGTTTGTCGCGCTCCACTTTTGTATTATTTTTTTCTGCTCTGCTGTTCTCATTTAGTTTTAACGATGTATTGGCTGCCTTGGTGTATGATCGTCTGGCTTTGCTATCCATCCGATCCTCTATGATGCTTCACGATGTCTCTTCGTCCTCCTTTCGGCATTTTCCACCCTCCTCCATCAGCTGGATCTTTGTCGGGCGTTTTCGCCACGGAGAAGGAAAAGGAGAAGAGGAGGTATTCAGGTAAAGCTCAGGCTTTATTGGCGGGGGGGTTAGGCTGGTAAGCGACGCCGAGCGTGCCTTGTCTCCTGAGCTCAGAGAAGCTCCATGGAGGGGGACTTGTTTTCCATGTTCCTGTTTGGATACGCTGGGCCCGGCTCTTTGAGACCGGCCTGCCTGAGGAGGGTTTATCCAGACTCTTCTGCCGGCTGGATTTTTCTTCCCACGGTGAGCGGATTCTACGAGCGTGATGGTTCAAACCCTGAGTTTCCTTTAACTCGAGCCTCCGCAAATACAGAGGCTTCTACTGAATATGCGCTTTTTAACGCTCGATCTC